AAAAAGGAAAGAAAAAAAAAAAAAAAAAAAGAACTGCCCCCGCTTTCTCCTCGCATAGCTGAGCTGGGACCTCTCTCAATAAGCGGGTAGAAAGAAAAGACATCGGACATGAGATGAGAAAATACAGATATCAAAAGTCAAGATCCAGATTCTCATCATCCACATCACCATCCTCGTCATCAGTCATGGTATAGCCACATCGGTGATAAATTGGCTCTAATAGTTTGTCTACAAAAAGATCGTCAGCTACTCTTTCAATTGTTTTCACAGGATCGATAGTGACCGTCAACGCCTGAGTCCTTCGCAGTTTGGTCTTCAAGCAACAAAACCCTAGCTCAATTGGATTCAGTTCGGGGCAATAAGCAGGTAGGTATCGCAGAAGGATACCTGCAGAGCAGGTGTAGATTAGTCACTGATATTGGAGACAATCAAGCTATTCAAAGCTGAATAAGAAAAACAACGTACCTTTTTGTTGACAAAGAGCAGCAATTTGTCCTCCATGATGAATAGATGCGTTGTCCAGAACCAGGACACTGTTAGGGCCAGGGTAGCGATTCATTCGGGGTAGCTAATGAATTACTTTGGGAATCAGTAATGTCATCAAAAAGATCATCCAAAGAATCTACATACGTACAAGTTTGTATTTTAGGAAGGCTTCAAAGCGCTTTCGATTGACCGGACCGTCCAGCACAGAGAGAGCCAGGAGGTCGTGGTAACCAATTGCTGGGAGGACAGAATACCTACCCCGATGGAGTCTTGGTACTTTGCGAGTCGTTCGAGCACCAAGTTTGGCTCGCTGACGGATGCGAAGGAGATCACGTCCACATATGGCACTCTCATCTGTCCAATAGTGAAGTGAAACAATCAGAGAGTGTCAAGTCATTGAGAAAGTGCGAGAAAATTGAGAACACAAAAAGCTCCTCACCGGTGAATACCAAAAAGTTGGCTGGAAAGCCCATCATTTTATCGATCCATTGATATTTTGCTACCAAGCTCTTTCGAACATTGCTTACTTGAGCTTTCTTCAAACTGATGAACAGACGATTTTGAAGTTCTAGATGAGTCGTACTGATTGAAGGCATTTTGCCATGCTCGTCATAGAGCTGTTCACGGATCTCGTCCAAGAACAAGGATGGTTGTTCTTGGACTAGAGTTTCCATGAACTGACGGTCCGCTCGATTCAGAAACCGCTTTCGACCGCGTTTCTCATACTCAGCAGGGTCCCGGATTACTGCTCGAGTGCGATGATAAAGCTGTGTCCATCGGCTGAATGAGCGTTTTGAGATAGCCCGTCGAAGGCGCTGGCGGATTGTGGAGCAAGATTCACCTTCTAGTCGCCAACGAACGGCAAGAACTTTGACATCTGCTGAATAACGTTGAAAGCCCATCGCAGGTGAGACTGAGGAAGATCGGTGAGGGATTGCACATTACAGTGCTCATGAGCAGGCCGCGTCAGCTAGCTGATCTGAATGCATCAGTTGGTCTACAGCACTGGCTGCGGCAACTGCGGCAACTGGAAACTTTTTTTTCTCGGGCCAGGGGTGCCATTCATTTTAGAAAAAGTAATATCCCGTAATTGCCAATAAAAAATTGATATTGATCACAAGGAGGAAAATTGACACCAAGGGATTTTTTGAGTTAGCACATTGGAGTTGGATGTACTTACTACTGACTTATCCCAGATTCTTTGTCTCTCTCGGGTTCTGATGGTTGAGCCTGAGGAATGAAAAATTACGACTTTTTCTGGCGGTCATAGAATTAAATCCTATTTTACTATTTACTAGGGTGAGGAGTCACTTTATGAGTGCTTCGTTTATACCCTTTCAGATGCTTGATACGAAAGTACCATGGAATGGATTTCTTGGTTGTTATGAGATGAAGGGATTTGAATCCAAGTGACTGATAGTCTGAGATGAGAAGTGAAAATTATGTAAATTGGTGATGCATTCTAGAATTTGCTAGACCATTCGATTCTTGGTTCATCAAACTTTAAACTCAAACGCACTCAAGAATCCAACCACTTCGACTGCAACTCGGATTTCAAAACCAATTCCATTCCAAACCAACACTTCATCAACCTCAACAACATGTCTAACTTCATCACTAATTACCATTGGAGGTAAACCAAGATTTCAACTTTTATAACATCAAAAACCTTACAATCACTAAACCCCTTCTTTATATTCTGATCCAAACCAACAACAGAACTAAAGATCTTTCCAAATGGGCCAAAGATTGGGTAAACAAATCTTTTGAGAATTCTTTCATTTCTTGATCAATTCACTAATTTGAATGTGTTTTTGGTTTGCTCAATTTAGTTTGAAGAACAACTCGTTTCGGTATCTGATGTACCAGGTTTGAAAATCGATGCACCTATCACTGTTGAAGGTGATTGTGAATTAGGAATGAGAAAAGCAAAGTAAGCTTCAAATAAATGACTAACACCAAACCAAAAACACACACTTACTGAATCTCTAACAATCTCTCGGTGGGGGGGTGGTTGATTTATCAAAAGGTTAATTACGATTTATGATCTTAGATTAACGGTTCGTTGGTCAAGTGAAGAAGAAACCAAAGGAACATTTACGATTCCAGAAGTTTCACACGATATGGAATTAAATGATTATATCTTTGAAAGTGTTTTAGATTCAGGTGGTAAGCTTGAAATCGAACAAAAAGCTAAAAAAGAATTATGTGATCGAATGAGAAATGTGTTTCAAGCGTTTCCAAAGGTAAATCCATCATTTCACTTCAATCTTGATAGATGATGATTTTAACGTTAACTTTCTTGGGATCATCTTATATAGGCAATGGTACAAGAGCATGGTGCCGATTTTTATAAACAAAACGGTGTCTCTCCTTCTGGTACTCCACTTCCTACAACCAACAATACTAGCTCATCAGGACCAATCTTACAAACCAAATCCGCTCCAACGGCTGCACCTGTACCAAATGATGATCCATCCTTAAAATCAAAACAAGCTAAAACTATTAACACCACTTCGATTCGACTCGATGGTCAATTTATGTCAAGTGCTTCAGATTTATTTGATGTTTTAACTAATGAATCTAAGATCCCAATGTGGAGTCGAAACCCTGCAAAAGTAAGAATCTTGATTTCTTTAGGTTTCCTTTGATCTTGAACCACTTTTTAAAGATTTGATTTGATTTGATTTGATTGATCATCTACTCTGTTTGTATCAGATGAAACCAGAAGCAGGTGCAGAGATGTCATTGTTCGGTGGTAATATTACTGGAAAAGTCATTAGTGTTGATCAACCTAAAGAATTCATTACGACTTGGAGAGCTCCAACTTGGCCAGCTGGTAAACTTTAGCTTTCATTCTCAAAAATTATATACTTAATCATGATCAATTGAATTAATATCATTTGGGTTGGATTTATTAGAACACTTTGGTCAACTTAAAACTACTCTTACTGAAGGTTCAGATTCAACTAAACTCGAATTATACCTCACAGGCGTACCTGTAGGAACAGAAGAAGAAACTGAAAGAAATTTAGATATCTGTAAGTTTTGATCATTCAAAGTTCTCTGCATACAATCAAACTTCCATCCTTTTCAATCACTAACCTTTTGGAATCATTTATCTTACAGTTTACCTACGTTCATTAAAACAAATTGGGTCAGCTCTTTCTTTTAATTCTCGTCATAGACGTTCTCCTTCTCCACCTGATTTTCCTACACCAGTTGTGAAACCTCCACTTTGGTCTTTGATTCTTACTTCGGCTATACCTATTACGATCTCACTTGGTATGATTTTTGGATTATTTGCCGCTATTTGGCTTGGTCCAACTGGTGATCCATGGAGAAAATAATGAGACCAAAAATTGCTTGCTAAAAGAAGATATATATTCTCTAATCTTTTTCTCATTTTTTTTTCTTGTTCTCGTCCTTTCTTTTTCCTTTTTTTGAATGTATCTTGAAAAACAAAACACATCTCTTGTATGGTTCTAACTTATCTTCTTTTTTTTCTTTCTTGCACTCGTTTTTTTTTCTTGTTCGATTTCATAGGTTGGGTACAATCCTTTGAATCTCTATTGAAGATCTTACTTTGAATCTCAAAGCAACCAGATTCAAAAGAGAAGAATCGGAAAGCGAAAAGGAAGTACAAACAAGTGAAGCACTGGTGTAAAAAAATCGGGAAAATGAATACCTTCATAGATCATCTTGATCTCTTGTTTTAGACTTTGTTATTTTGAGTGTGAGATCCCGAAAGTAGAAATATAAAATCATTAACATTGTACTCACTTGCCCATCTGCAAAAGTAAACCAAATAAGAGACAAAGCTTATGTTTAAGGTTGTTTTCAGTTTATTGATTGGCACAAAAAGGAATATCGTACAACTAATTGTATGGAACAAGAAGAATTTCACAATCAAATCATCAAATCGATATTATAAAAATTGAGAGAGTTGAAGAAAAGAATACATCCACTTCCATCTAAATCACAAAACCAGAAATGAGAGCAAGAGAGAGAGAGAGAGGGAGTTAAGATTTAGAAGTTTTAGGTTTCTTTCTTGGATTTGAAGTTTTCTTCGAAGTAGAAGAAGTAGTTTGATCTGAAGATTTTTTTGTATTTTTACGAGCAAGAATTTCAGCTTGTAATTTCAAAAACTCATCTTCATCTGGTAATTTAATTTCATCTTGATTCTCTTCTTCTTCTTCAATGATTTCTTTACGTTTTGATTTCTTACGTTTCGATTGGGATTCTATATCATCTTGTTTAGCCTTAGATTCTAATTTTTGAATCATTTGTTCGTGTCTGTTTTTACTATTAGATAAGATTAAAGCTTTCAAAGTGTCTTCTGATGAATCTTGACCACCTAATAATTTGGAATTTAAACCTAATTCTTTAGAAAGCAGTTCGGCTTCTTTTGATTCTCGTTCGGCCAAAGTTTTTCGTTTTTGAGCTGATTTCTTATCGGTTTTAGTTTTCGTCCATTGTTTGAGTTTAGGTAATTCTTGAGAATTAATCAAGTTGTCGATTAGCTTGATGATTCGTTTTTCATCTGATTGACTTGAACATAATGTATTGTTTAAGATTTGTTCAAAATCGCCTTCAAACGTTCTATAATGTTCTTTAATATCATGGATTTCTTCTTCTGATCCTATAAAGTTGAAATCAAATCATCTTCACTCAGTTCTCTTGTGTAGATGAATTCTAGTTTTAAATGAAAGACAAAAAAAACAAGAGAGTTAACTTACCTTGATAAGATTTCGTAAATTCTTCAATCGATTTACTATTCACTTCTCCCTTCCAAAGTTCTTTAAAATAATCATTCCAATTCACTTGATCATCTAAAGAATTTAAATTGATTTGTCCACTAGAATCATACAAGGTTCGTTTGTTTGAATCATTTAAAATTTGATATGCTAAACCAATCTTTTGAAAGGTTTCATTTGATTTGGATTTTTCTATGTCTGTTGCTTTAGGTGAAAGTTTATCGGGATGATACCTTAAGGCTAGTTTTTTGTATGATGTTCTTATTTCGGATTGAGTGGCTGATTTCTCTAGGTTTAAGATTTCGTATAAGTTTAGATCTTCGCTGTCGAATGGTAATTCACTCATGATAGTATGATAGTATGATGATGAGATAGTTTGATAAAAGTGATGGAGTTGATAAGGAATTGAGATTGGTTTGTTGACTGTTGACCGTTGACCGTTGACTGTTGAGGTTCACTCTCCGATTTCAATTCGATTTGGTCTTCCGGTACACGCGTCCGTCGCAGCGGAAGACGCGATATAAGAATACATTACGACACGTGATATCCTTCTATGTGATGCATCTCCGCATTTCTTCAATTCAGCTCACGTGACTCTAATGAGTATGCTCAGAGCTGCTCACTGCTCAGACTCCAGAGTATTCAAAGATGATGGCTTAAAGAAATACTGGCTCAGAACAAATTTATCAGGGTGGATGGAGATTCATCAATGAAATTGTTTCTCATTGGTCAAAGTTTCTTCTTCCAGATAAGACACACATAGTCATGCAGAGATATATTCTCAGTCTCAACTAGAGCTTTAACAAGGTATTGAAAATATTGAGGATATTAGTCTTCTAGAATTACATAAGCTGTACCAGAAGTGGACTGGTGACCGAGGCATAGAGAAGGTCCTGGGAATATGCAGGGCAGACATAGAACAAGTTTTTGAATTTGAGTCCAAATCAACAGATGGTGGCCATTTTGCTAGGGTGTGTATTCAAAACAAGGCCTATTGGAAGAAAGGTGACTGGTATTCTAAATGAAGAATAGGGGATAGAAGTAAAAAAGTCCAACATTCACAAAATAAGATTTCCAGCTTGATTTCTGAAGAAGCCAGGCTTCATATGTCAGAAGGAAGAGCAATGTGCGAAAATATCAACACATTTTGTTTACAATTTATGGACCACTTGCAGGTATCTATGGCAGTTGGTGTTGATTCTGATGAAGAGAAGTTGGTTCTGGAGAGACAGATAAAGAATATGTTACTCATCTGGAGCATTGCCCAGTATAAAGTTGCTCTGGCACTTTTTGGTGCTTTGACTCTGAGACTGTTTTACAAAGAGAAAACAACTCCAGATAGACTGGAGATTGTACTGGAGGCTGGCTGTATATTCCTTCAAAAAATATTTAACCAATGGAAGGACAAAGAACTCAAGGAAGCACCCCAACAGACAAGACATATGAATCATGATTGGAGGGTCCCAATTAGTGAATTGTTATACTTGAAGTTAGTCATCAAAAAGAGTCATACCAGCTAGACTTGTTGGCAAGCTTTTAGAAAGGATGAGACAGTGTATAGAGGAGATAAGAGTGGCAAAGGAGTGACTCTCACACTTCCCTGAACAACTAAAGCCTTGGCCAAACATGTCTTTGCAATTGGTTCCCACCAAGACCTTGATGAAATATACTAAGAAAAATTACCTCCATTGCCCTGTTAGTAGCTCTTAAAATCATGGAGATTGGAATGCAGATTGAATAATCTTTTTTTTCATTCTTGGAATGACTCATCATGAGTCACATGAAAGAGCCCCATTGCAAAAGGCACACATCACTGCTGAGTTTATTGAAAATGTGTCCCTTTGGAATTTTTCTACTTGTTCTTTTCTGAAATGATTCAGATAGGTTTGGAATTCACAATGAGATTGGCTTTAGTACATACTTCTAAGATTCATGGTAGAAGTCTAGTAGGCTTACATGGTTTTGTGATTTATACATCTTGAAATTTATCTATGTCCCTTCATCTTTCAACATAGCCCATTGAGCCCTCTTGCAAATGCCAAGAAGCATTTGAGAGCATTGGTCTTTTGATCTGCCAGAAGCACAGGTGGGCTTGGGAAAACTCAAGAAAGGGAGAAACAAAAGATCAAAAATGGCACTGATAAATTCTCACATCTTGCAAACCCATATTGTGACTTGACACCGATCAAGCGGGTATAGCCACTGTATGAAAGCGGTGGTTCATTTATTCTAAGCATCAAATGAAAGTGTTTACCAAAAGCCAAGTAATCAGGTTTACGCTTGCAGACACTTTTGAGATGGATAGGGTGATGAGTGATCGCTGTGTATCGATGAATTGAGAAACACGGTGGTGCTTGTGTCAAGACCTGCGTCATGATTTGTCTTTGGCGGTGATCGATCAGAAGCGTCTTGGGGACTTTACACCTGCATCAATGGTTGGGGTTTGGAGTTTACTACATAAATTCAGTTTGAGTTGTGAATTTCTTCCAACCAAGAAAATCATACCCAAGTCGTTGTATGTATTCATTCTCACCATCAGTTATCTCTCCAAATTGAAAGGAACGATCATCATAACAGACTCTCAAGATGTCATTCTTCAAGAAAGCTGCTGAGAAACTCAAAGACGCTCAATCTGAAGCGGTGGACAAATTTAATCAACTCAAAATATCTCATTCATCAAATAACGATTCATGTTCTTCAAATGGACCACCACCTATTCCACCCAGACCTACTCATCGTCGTGATCCCAATACGACTGGTGCAAAAAACAATCAAGGAAAATTTATCATTAGGAACCCAAACACTGGTAATTTGGAAGTCGAAGGTACAGGAGAGGTGATCAAATTTGCAAGCTTGTGTGCTCCAGAAGTAAGTTGATTACCTTGCTATATTTTGAAGAATTTCAAACTGAGAGATGTTTGACGATTTACATAGTTGTTCGATAACGAAGGATTCGAGAAAGAGGATACCATGCGTACAATCTCACAGTTCGGGATTTGGCCAGTGACTAGAACCTATACTCTGAAAGTCAAGTCTTGTAGGATCAATCGCGGTCACATTAACGGATGGGATTGTGAACGAGTGAGAGATTATCAGTTCAAATCATTCACCCAAAAGTCATTCAGCCGAAGATTATAAACATACCGATTCCTGCATGTTCGATTTGAACAGAATGATTTCATGTACGATGAAGATATGTTCAAGTCTATTGACTATACGATCGCAATGGCCGCCAAATGTATATCAAAACTTTTCACTCGTCTAGTAATACAATATCAGACAAGTCTAATCGACTTTGATTTCAGATAACGTTCGATTGATCATTCCGATCATCAATCAAGACTTTGGATCAGAAGAAACCAATTGGGTTGGAAACTTTAGTGATCTGATTAGACATCGACATGGTTTAAAAGATTGGCATGAAGCTCAACAAATGAATTGGTGGGAACATCCAGATTGTATTGATTCGTACGTCTTGATTTTTGTCTCCTCTACTCATCTTTCTGAATCTAATTTACTAATGTTCAATTTTATCACAGCATGAAAAAGATCGTTACGTTTCTTTTGAATGTGAGTCATCTTGGATATTGACCGCTGCTTAGAGGGGATACGCGATTGAAATGGGTGTAACTGAGACTTCTGATCTCTTCAGAGGGTCAATCATGTCACCGGAGTCCGAATAGGTGATGATCCTACAATTCTGGCTTTTGAGGTCAGTTATGAAATTATCTCTTCACAACACTTGAGGCTCTATCACTTACCTTTCTGGGATACCTTACAAACAGACCGGAAACGAGATGAATTGCGGTGGACTGAGACCCGCTCCTGCCGCCTGGACATTAGAAATCGCAGCACTGTTGAGTTCCTGAATCATTCATAACATTCCTTGTCAAATTGCGATAGTTATCGTGCTGAAAGTTTGACATTATTCCTGACGACTCTTTAGCATCAAGAGTCTGGCACCCAGAACATTAATTATGGATGGATCATTTGCAAGGACTGATGCCATTCAATATAGTTATGAGAAAAAGGTCTTAGAGAGTGATTTGGTAGATATCATCAGTTGGCATTATTATGGTACGTTCATTCATCCTTTGATCTGCTTTCTCATTTTATTTCTTTCTTGTTGTAATCTTTTATCAAACTCGTACGATACTCACCCATATCAATACTTGTTAAATTTAGGCTACGGCGAAAAACGTAGAGTACGAGATGATGTCGAAGCAGCACGTAACCACAAAAAAGCGTTCGTGAAGCTGTTCTTTATATCTCCTTCTAACCATATTATCTTCCCCTGGGTCTCCGAAGTTGAGATTCTCGGTCTAATTATTTAGGTTTATTTGTGGAGAATATGGATTCTTTGCACATGGACATGAGTTTGAAAACTTTCTGAAGCATTGCTCTGACCATGGTGGTAAGTCGGCTCGTCTACTTACAAACCCAATATATATATATATATATGAAGCCAAACAAAACATCAGACTGATCTGAAACATCCTACATAAACATTTTCCTCTTTGTGTTTTAGTCGCCGGTACCTTAGCATGGTCTTTAAGACCGCACTCTGCCAAAGGAGGCTTCAAAACACACGGCGAAGGTAATGGGATTTGGTCCTACCATGCTCCAGGTTGGAAGCCTTATCAAAATGGCCAGGACGATCCAGAATGGGATCATCGAGAAAAAGATGGTAAGAGGACTAATCTTCAAAACCCTGCCTTCAACCACTCTTCGGGAAAATCGAAGAACCAGGAATTGAAACCGATTGTTTCATACATTTCATCATCTTGTATCTTTAGTCATTGGAGCCATCAGGAAGGCTGCCTTCAAACTGACTGGTGATAAGCCACCTAAAATTGAATTGGATGCACCTTACGTCTTTCTGGTTGATGAAGGACAAAGCTTTAGTTGGAGAGGAACTGCTTGGGCTGATCATTATGAAGTTTGGTGCAATGTACGTCCTTTGGGTTTAGGAGACCATTGTATGATGTTTTTATCATCTTATAATTGATCTTTATTAAATTTATAGACAAGTGGTGGGGCAGAAGATGGATGGACGTTGTGCCAAGGTGGTGTGACTGAGTTGAGTGTCTTTGTTCTTTTCTTGATTCTGGAATGGTGTTTGAGACGAAATTGAGAAAACTGAAACCTCTCCACAACCATTTCAGTAATGTTAAGGAAGGTAGATTAAAGTATCCTTCTCAAGTTATCTATGACCAGATTGGAATGCAAGGAGCTCAGATCTCTCTAAGGATGAGAGGGATGACTAGCGAAAAACAACCTGGACCATTCTCGTTTGTCTACCGATTTGTACTTATCATCTGACAAGTTACATATCATTCATCACTGATCCTTCACTTTTCTTTCTTTCTGTAGAAATGTGATCAATATATAGACAATAGTTTGCTTTGGTTTTGAATTTCAATTTACTTGTTTAATCTATTTAACACTCAATATTAACCTTTGATACCTTTGAGAATGAGATTGTATCTGATGATGATGATCTTGAGGACATTTTTGTACATTTCAAATCAGGGTCAAGATAGCTTTGATTTTTCCAAGTTTTTGAAAAAAAATCTTCATCAAACCGTTGAGAAAGGATTGGCATGGATATTTCTTATTGATAAATATCATATATCAAGGTTTTGATTTGATGACCCATCAGAGAACATCTCAGGGTTGTTCAAGCCTTGTTTTCTCATCCTTGAACCTTTGCCAGATGAGATCAGGCAAGGCTGTCAGGAATGAGATCACATCAGTGCTAAACTTACAATAGTGATAGTAGTAGTACAGCCTGAGGCGGGGTTTATATAGGTTTATATGTTGTCTTTTCCGCGCCTTCCTTATCTTCCATAAGGTTTCCCTTCCTCCTCCCCCTATCTTCTAGCTCTTTCTGTTTTTTCCTTGCGGTCTAGATAGGGTTTCCCTTTCTCCTCTACCCATCTCTTAGTTCCTTTCTGATTTCTCTCTGTGGTCTAGACCGCTATCCCAGTAAACACTTATTGGAACGGCTGGAAATGTTTCTTTATGCAGTTTTTTGCCGCCGAAGGGCTCTGCATGCCTCAGCAATTTCAACGCAGCCGGTCGACCACCAAGATTTTTTTGCAAAGTTTTCAACTAACACCCAGCAGCCAATGTATCGGTGGTTCTTCGATAAAAATAATATAAGTATTAAAGACGATAAGAGCCAGCTTCCACTTTGTAATCTTGTGGCTTGTTGGATTCTTTTTATCAAACCATTGCAGGTAGAAAAAGTAGATATTTCGTCTAGCTTCATCCCCCATTTTTCGCCTCAAGAGACGTTACAATTCTTTGAGATTCGCAGCTCGGCTGACGGACGAGGTCCGGTAACGTGTGTTCAAATTATCAAATTGTGTAACATCCCGGCTCAAATATAACTTCAGACACGCATTACCAATCGGAGGAGGGACTTGGTCAAGACAAGTTAAAAATGGACTTCAAATATGTTATTCAGGATGGGTTTGAGTTTTTGGTTTCTCTCTGCGCAATCATTGAAACGTGACAATGACAGATCCCTTGCAAAAAGACTTTCTTCGTACAAACAAGATCCTTTGAACCTGAGTCATTATCAAGGTACGACGTAATTCATCCTCGATAACGAGTCTTACATTGTAGAAGAATCTTTGGGCTTCACATCTGCATCACTGGTTGGATTCGAGTATAGCGATTGAGGGGTCAATCTCCTGATCTTTCAAACAAAAAACAATTATACCCAAGTCGAGTTCATTCTCATAATCAATAATCACTCTATATCACAGGAGTCAATCATAATAAGGGACTCTCAAGATGTCCTTCTTTAATAGAGCTTCTGAAAAACTTAAAGAGGTCCAAACCGACGCAGTCGATGAATTCAGTCAACTCACAGGATCTGCTTCATTAAATAAAGAGATATGCTCTTCTAACGGACCACCAGCTATTACACCTAGACCTACTCATCGGCGTGATCCCAATACTACTGGTGCAAAAAACAATCAAGGAAAATTCATCATCAGGAACCCAAACACTGGTGATTTGGAGGTCGAAGGTACAGGTGAGATAGTCAAATTTGCAAGCTTGTGTGCACCAGAAGTGAGTTAATTGAATAATCTTATTCCATACTTTCTTGAAAATAATATGAAACTAATGACTATTTGATTTTATAGTTGTTCGATAATGAAGGGTTCGAGAAAGAGGATACCATGCGTACAATCTCACAGTTTGGGATTTGGCCGGTGACTAGAACCTATACTCTGAAGGTCAAGTCTTGTAGGATCAATCGTGGTCATATTAACGGATGGGATCCTGACCGAGTAAGATATCCCTGAACTTCATATCATTCACTCGAACAAAAACCCACTGGCCCAAAGGTTGAACTTACACACATTGATTCCTGCATGTTCGATTCAAACAGAATGATTTCATTTACGATGAAGACATGTTCAAGTCTATCGATTATACGATCGCAATGGCCGCCAAACGTATATATATATTATAACTTTGCGATCGTCTAATGATATAACATCAGAAGAGTCTGATGAATTTTGATTTCAGATAACGTTCGATTAATAATTCCGATCATCAATCAAGACTTTGGATCAGAAGAAACCAATTGGGTTGGAAACTTTAGTGATCTGATTAGACATCGACATGGTTTAAAAGACTGGAATGAAGCCAAAAAGATAGATTGGTGGCAAGATCCAGATTGTATTGATTCGTATGTCTTGATTTTGGTCTTCTCTAGACTCTAGTCATCCTTCTGAGCCTCGTATACTGATAGCCATTTTCATTGCAGGATGAAGAAGATCATTACGTTTCTTTTGAAGGTGTGTGATTTTAGACGTTGACCATCAGATAGGTGGTCACCACAAAAGTCACTCATGACCAAGATGAGTCTGAGTTGAGTGTCACTGAGAGTTCTGATTTCCCCAGAGGGTCAATCATGTCACTGGAGTCCGGATAGGTGACGATCCTACGATCCTGGCTTTTGAGGTCGGTTGCCTTTTCTATTTGTAAAACCTGTTGCTCCATCACTCAATGCCTTTCAATCCTCTCAATTGTCTTACATATAGACCGGAAACGAGATGAATGATGGTGGACTGAGACCTGCTCCCGCCTCCTGGACGTTAGAAATTGCTGCGCAGTTGAGTCTCTTCATGTTGAAACATTCATCTTCAAACTCGTATAGTTTGTTGTGTTGAAGTCTTAACATTGATCATGACAACTCTTTAGCATCAAAAGCCTTGCACCCAAAACTTTAGTAATGGATGGATCATTTGCAAGGACTGATGTGATTCAAGATAGTTATGAACAAGAGGTTTTGGAGAGTGAGTTAGTAGATATCATCAGTTGGCATTATTATGGTAAGTGAATTCTTTGTTGGAATGGCTATTCTATTGCTCGTCCAGTCTTCCATTAAGCTTACATGCCATTTATCTTGGTACGAATATGCTTTGTGAATTTAGGTTTTGGTGAAAAAAGGAGAGTCCAAAAGGATGTTAAAGCAGCACGTGATCTTAATAAAGCGTTCGTAAAGCTGTTCTCTGAAGCTCCTTTTTACCGCTTTCTCTTTCCTTTCGTCTGTAAATCTGAGATTACATATTGGGTTTATCCTTTAGATTTATCTGTGGAGAATATGGTTTTTTTGCTCATGGACACGAGTATAAGAAATTCCTGAAGCATTGCTTTAACCATGGTGGTGAGTCAAGCTCGTATACTTACAAACACATCTTATTCACATGACTTTCTCCAATACCCTAGATGTATACAGAACTAATCATACTGATCTCAACCATCTTATATTCATACTCTTCTCTTCTTTGTGTTTTAGTTACCGGTACCTTGGCATGGTCTCTAAGGCCGCACTCTATCAAAGGAGGCTTCAAAACACACGGTGAAGGTAATGGGATTTGGTCTTACCATGCTCCAGGTTGGAAACCTCTTCAGATTGGCCAAGACGATCCAGAATGGGATCATCGAGAAAAAGATGGTAATACTAAAAAGAACGAGAACTAAAGACGTTCTCTCTTGACTACTCTTCAAGATCAAGTGAACTGACCAAAAATTCAATCCATCTTCTCCATGCATTTTATTGCTTTCTGGCTTTAGTCATTGGCGCGATTAGAAAAGCAGCCTTCAAACTGACTGGTGATAAGGTGCCTGAGATCAAACTGAATTCACCTTATGTCTTTCCGGTTGATGATGGACAAAGCTTTAGCTGGAGAGGAACTGCTTGGGCTGATCATTATGAGGCTTGGTGTAATGTACGAATTAGTTTGGATCTCTCTGTTTTGGCTTTCTGTGATCAGTGCTTTAAGGTTTTTAGAATCTTATGACTGATCTTTATGAAATTTATAGACCTGTGATGGTCCAGACGATGGATGGAAGTTGTGTCAAGATGGTCTGACCGAGTTGAGTGTTTTTTGTGTTCTGGAATGGTGCTGAAATGGAATGGCACTGAAACATGACTTGACCAATTGGCGGTTTATGATACACAAACCTTTAGCAATGTTAAGGAAGGTAGATTGAAGTATCCTTTCCAGAAAATCCTTGACCAGATTGGAATGAACGGACAGCCAATTTGTTTAATGATGAGAGGAATCACTAGTGCAAACCATCCTGGACCATTCTCGTTTGTCTTCCGTTCTTATAGTTTACGGGTATATTATTCATCGCTAATCCACTGCTTCCTTGATTTAGGAATGTGATCAACATGTGAACAAAAGTTTGAGTTTCTTCAATTTTGATTTTTACCTGTCAATTTATTCAATGCTTCAGCTTCAACCTTTTATACCTTCAAGAAGTAGAATATATCTATGTTCGCGATGTTAAGCAAGGACCATGTTTTTGTGACTTGAAAACCTAGGGTTTAGAAGCCTTTGAAGATCCTGAATTTGGAAATCTTATATGATCTCGTGCTTCAAAGAATGTGATCTTGGGGATTCATTCCAGGGCAGAAATTGCTCTGCTTGGAACTTTTTTTGAAAGTGACTATAACTCCCCGTAGAAATGTATAACAAACCAGATGTCTTGCCCAAAAGGCTTTTGATTGAGAATCCCGAGTTCAACTTCAGAAGACAAACAATTGTACTTGGGTAAAAATCACAAGTAATAACATAATTTCAATGTTACTAATGATAGAACAAGGAAATAAACGAGTTTGGAAAAAAGTCTTATGACTTGTCTAAAAGCGTTTCACAAGATGCCCTTTACAAAACACAGAACACTAAGCCGATGATGGAAGCAAAAAAAAATCTGTGATGACTGTTTATAAAAAGCTTTTTTCTTAGAAATGTTTGAGAAAGGGATGACAGGTAGTTTTTCTTGTCCATAACTCTTTCTATAATGATTTGGATATATTGATTTGTTGAATGAGCCTTCGCAAGCATCAGAAGTTCTCTTGGCTACATTCTGTACACTTGTTTTCTCAAGCCGTGGTCGAACGAGAACAGGTGGCTTATGTATGATATAGATATACCTGATCAGACCTGATCCACATGATATTCAGGATATCATCTGTGGATGAAGTTGATGAAGTTCATTTGAAGTTTCCCCTCAATTATCAGTCAACATTTCGCTCCAGAGTTCATCTGTTCTGTTTCTCCACTTCAATCGAGAACAAATCCACGAGAAAGATCTATATCCAATATTTCTCACAGCCAAGTTCTCAAGGACACTTCCAGGTAATGTGATTTTTGTAAAAATATATCATGATAGTATACCAAAAAACAATTATACGGACATTCTACACATTTTAAAGACGAGATAAGTAATATAAGAATTAAACAATAAAGCAAAAAAACCATCAAACCACTACAATCGCACGCTCTTGTCCTCGAATAGATACGCCTGCTCGACTAGGGCACAAATCAGATACTCGATTATTACCATAAACAAATAATGATTTCAAATTTGGCATCTTATCAAGGCAATCTCTGTGAATCAAACCAAATAAAAAAAGTCATCTCTGTCAATAAAAAAAGAAGAAAGAAAATTGTAATAGAACAGAAAAAGAGACTAACTTGATGAGAAAATCATCAACGTCTCGTACAAAACTGAAATCTAATTCTACTAGATTAGGAGCCTTTTTGGGTAAGACCTCTAATGCTTCAGCTCTCAATTCGTCTACGCTATTGAGGTCTAGGTATTTAAGGTCTGATCCAGTATGATTCAAGATCGATAATAGAGCGTCATTATCGATCTAAGAATCCAATATGAACAAGATATACTTCAGTTCATTTGTACCAGTTGCCCGTAGATCAACGAAGTGAATTGGAACAAAAGGAAAAGCACTCACTCGTATACAACGTGATAAATTCAAACTTTCTAATTTACTGGCTCTTACTTTCTTCCACATATCGAATAATTCTTTAACACCTTTTGGAGTTAATTGTTGAAGTTCAGCAAGATTTAGTTTACGAATCTTTCGACAATAAGTTCCTAATCCATCAGATAGGATCTTATCAGTTAAAAGCTTGTTTTGACTAATGTCAAGTTCTTCCAAATTCGGTCCAACTGATTTCAATAGTCTACAAAGGAACAAGATCAGGTTTTGCAAAAAAAAAACGAAGAGTAAGAAGATGTTAAAGTGATCAACGAACTGAAGAATTCCATCATCTGTGAGAATTCCACCTGTAGCTCCATTCAAGATCCCAGCATTAGCTATCGACAATTGTTTCAGATTTGGAAAGTTTGCTTCGCTAAGAATCTTCAAACACTGATCATTGAAAAGACCGATATCATCAAGTCTCAGATCCGTCAAATTTTTACAAGTATCACCTAAAGCTTTGACACATTCTAAATTGAAACGAGGAGACTGTTTTAATCTAAAAACAGTGATTTCAGGACCTCTAGGCGATAAAGCTAGATCCAATTCGGCTTGGCTTTCTTCTGTAGCTGGATCAGGTAAGGCTGGTCTTTGAGTTGGCTGACTCCATATCGAAAATAATTCAAGCCAAGCTTCTCGTCTAACAAGATAAGGACCAAACAAATCCAATTCTCTTAATTTACTAAACCGACGTGCGTAGGTTGTTAAAACTTCTCCATCTAGATGTCCACAGAAGTTGAGGGTAAGATGTTGAAGGTGTGGACAGAAGTTGGGAAGAGTAATGAGACTGTCCTTGTGTAGATCTAAGCGGATCAATCAGAAAGTCAGAGATAAGGTAAAAAACGACATCAAGCTGAATGAAATCGATTAAATAACTGACTTATACAGTCAAATAACTTCAATTGGGTATGTGATACATCGAGAAACAATGGTAAGTTGTTTGGTTTAAGCTCTCGATGTTTACAGACAATCTTGCAGACTTTCTCCATACTACCCCAATCAAGTTTAATGGTTTTTTAGTAAAGTGAATTGATCGTAAATTAAAAATTACTAGGAGTCAGAAAGGAGTTGACTAGAGTCGATCAAGAGATGAATGGTACAATTTTTCACTTACTTTACGCTACTGACATGACCAAGGCTAGGATCAATCGATTCAATCTGCTCTGCGATCACAGAGATACACGACATTTGTAAAGTTTTAAAATTTTCTGTCCAACTAGCTTTGAAAGGTTGAATTTTCTTGGTTTTTCGTTTCTTGACAGGTGGAGCACGAGCTTCTTTATCTTGTTGAGTAGGATTTCCTTTCGCGCAAGTATCACAAAGTTGACCTCTACCTTGCTCTGAAGGCGTATACCGTGTCACAGTGAATTTCTTAGCACATTCAACACATATCGCAATCATTCCGGGTTTCCTGTCTGCATATTTTCCAGCTTTGGGTTTCATAGCAGGTTCCGGAGATTCTCTTTTTCGTTTGTCTGAAGTGCTGGGGTCTTCTTTTTGACGTGTAGCTGTAGTCACTGTAGTCGCGGAAGTAGTTTCAGGATTTCCTTTTGATGGTTCGCCTGCTTTGATGCTAGTCGATTGACCTCGAGATGAACCTTTGGGTTTGGATAGATCTGCATCTAAATCATCTGAATCGATATCTTCTTCAACTTCTTCTGGTTCGGCTTCTTGTTCTGAAGTTTCATTTGGTTCTTCAGGAATAGTAGAAGTAGAACCTTGTGGTTGATCATCACGTCGCGCAAATCGATTCACATGTCTAGGTCGAATACCTTGTTCCTGTTTTCAGAAAGACGTCTCAACATGTAAGTCATAGTTCGAATGATGAGGATGGTTTCGTCTAAGCACTTACTTTCAAAAATGATGTTAAAGCAGACGTTGGACCATTGACCGTACTACGAACGTTTTGTTGAGGGTCTTGAGGTGGAGCACCTTGAGGGTCGTTGGGCTGTTCGACCACTTCCTCATTTGTTACAGGGGTATTGTTAGAGTTATTAATTGAAGTTGATGAGTTGGTGTTGTTGTTTTTAAAACGCGAAGGTCGAACCATGATGAAAAAGTTGAGGTTTTTTGTTAAATTGGAAAAATTGGATGTCAAGTCTTGAGCAAGAAGTAAATATAATTTTTTAAAAGCATCGTGTACAAAACTTGAACCTTCCTATTTCGGAAACCCGTTCAAAACGCATGTATTCACATTTGCTGTTATTCGTCATCAAGACAATGAGTTCATAAATTCAACCTTCTCAACAAAACCTTTATCAAACCTTCTGCACCACAGCCCACACGCACAAATCATAATATCACATACAACTTGCCTTTTGCGTACCCCAGAAAGCAGAGTCATATGCTTCTTCATGTGAGTTGTGGTTTCATCAATACGCACATTTTAGTGACACATGAAAGTCCACATTGAGCGTTTGCTTCTCTTCTCGAAAAGTCTTGTGGACCCATGACCTCTGAGAGCCAGCCTGGTGGAGTCAGTGAAGCAGTGACCTCTCGCTCAAACAGGGCCGGAGTACACAATGTCGGATACGTGTATGGGATTCGCTGAGTCCGACCCGCTGACCTGTGTAGTCTCGGTCTCGGTGGCTCGGTGTGTTTTGGCACGAGGTCAAGTGAAATTCTATTTGGTCGATCTGAAACCACAAGATTTAAAGTCAGGAAAGATTTTGTTTAAAATTAAAATACTCATCTCTTCAGCAAGGTGTAAAGAAGCTCTCCAAAACCCGATCAAAGCTTGAACAAACATACGTAGCAAAATATACTTCAAAGAAACCAACACTATTTGAATTAAAAATGGTTCATGATCTTTCAAAAATCACTGAATTTAATGTTATTGATTATTATAATAATATACTTTCAATTGATGAGGTTAGTGATTTAAACTTTCTAAACAAGAAAACAAACACCATCTATGATTCTTCTGCTTGGTTTCTCTAACTGATCATTCTTTGATTTTGGTTCTTATTTTTTTGCGGGGGTTTGCTAGAATTTAGCAGTTCCTATTGCCGCAGTCCAAAGTTTAACAGAATGTATGGCACGATCTAGTGGTCAGTCTTTCTATGGGTGTGTCTTTTAGTCATGTTATTTTCACCAACACCTTAAACCATCACCCAAGCTATCAAAAAGAAAAGAAAAAACTCATTCTAAGTTTTTTTTCTTTCGTGTTGGTTTGTCTTTTTGGGTTTAGCTTGTACTATGCAAGAATTGATTGGTATACTTTATAAAGCTATTGATCAATTAAAAGAAGGAACATCCAATTTGATATCATTAACAGCAGGATGTGAATTATTTCTAAGATTGTAAGTCTTCGGTACCAATTGACCTAATCCCCCCAAACCCTTCCTTTCAAATCACTCATAAAAATCTTCATGATTATAGTCTTACAACTCAATTCTCACCAAACGGTTCGATTTCATTCGAAGATCATAAAAACTTATTAGTTCAACACACCTTAAAGTTCGTGAATGAATCTAGATCGACATGTGTTGAGAAAGTAGCAAATTCAGCATCAGGTTTTATTGAAGATGGTTCAACGATTATGATTCATGGGTATTCTAGGGTGGTCTTACATGCTATCTTAAGAGCTTTTTCTCCTGATCAAAACCCTAGAAAAAGGTTTCAAGTTTATGTGACGGAATCTAGACCTGTCAGTTTTCTTTTCTTGAAGTTGGTTTGGTTTTTAATTTGATTGATTTGAATGATTTTTTTTATGAAATTAGTCAGAATTAGGTTTAAGAACTCATGCGATTCTTACACAACATGGCATTTCTTGTGTTGTTGTACTTGATTCTGCTGTGAGTTCGATACTATGTTCAAATGATGATTTGAGAGTATTGAATTCCTTGTGTTTCAGGTGGCTTACGCGATGGGTAAAGTGGATTTGGTCATGGTAGGAGCTGAAGCCGTATTAGAAGATGGAGGGTAAGATTGATGTTGATTTAATGTTTCCATTGATTCCAGAATGAGCGTAAAAATTGACATTCTTTTATTAACTATAGATTGATAAATTATATTGGAAGTTATCAAATGGCCATCGCAGCGAAAGCACATAATAAGCCTTTTTATGCTCTCACTGAGAGGTAAGTTTCAAAATGTATATGTTAGATTCATGATCTTGAGATTGATCTAACTTAACTTTTTCGTGTTTTGATCCAGTTATAAATTTCTTCGATTATTTCCTTTATCACAATACGATGTACCAAGCTCACATCCAAGCTTAGAGTTTCCACAAATCACTCAACCAGATCGTTCAAACTCAAAAAGTCAAACTGATGAAATCTCAATGCCAAGTTCTTCAATCACTAAAGTTTCTTCTAGTATAATTCCTAAGCTAACGTTAGAAGAAATAGCTAAGAATAATCCTACATTAGATTATACTACACCTGATTTGATTACACTTGTGATTAGTGATTCAGGTATATTGACTCCACCTGGTGTGGCTGAATATTTACTTTCAGTTTTTGGTGGTGAATAAAGACTTGAAGAATTGGACTTTGAAGGTTTGTAAATATTATTTAGAAAAAATGTGGGACTTAGATAAAAGATCAGATGGATTGAATGTGGAACGTCAAGTAATTAAGACTATGATTATATCATTCTTTATGGGGTCCACTGCACTGGAAGACTTTCTGCATATGTGAAGTCAACTTGACTCTTGTATAACAAAAAAGAAAGATTGAGCCATAAGATTGGAAACCAAGTTTAAAGGTTTCTTGCGAAGAATGGTGTTCCAAGTAAGGTCTCAGTTTGAGTTCACAGTGTCAGGACGCTTGGCTTGAGTTCAGTTTAATTGATCTATGTGTGATTTAAGATCATCAAAGTTGTTTTGGTAGAGTGCTCAATCTAGAAAGGATGAGACTATGAGACTCGAGAGGGAGAGAGGGGTGAATCGATGACGTCATTAACAAGAAAATCAAAAGACAAACAAACAAATTCATTCAATCCATACTCTAGACTTCTTCTTCATCAACTTCATCATCATCATCGTCTTTTAATATCTACTATCAATCCATTCATCATATCTACAATCTCAATGTTAAGAAATCTAAGAATAACCAATCACAGAAAACTTTTAACCCATTATCATCATCATGATAAGATCAATCTAAACCAATCCAATCGAATCTTATACTTTTCTTCAATCTCAATTAACAAGAACAGTAACAATCCAAAATCAAATCAATCATCACTTAACTCAATTAATGAAAATGTAAAAGATATTTCAAAGACTGCTAAAGCAGAAGTAGGTAAAACTATGGAAAGTGTACTACAATCTATGTCAGGTTCTTCTAAATCGAATTCTCATCATGATCATCATGAATCTGATTCTGATTTACAAGATCAACGAAACAATAGTAGAGATTCAAAGTTTTCTAAAACTGAAATGATTTCTGATATGGTAAGTTATCTTCATTCTTTGTTTGATCATCGAAACCAAAAAAGTGACATTTATTTGTGGAATTGGGTTTTTTTGTTTTTCTTTGGTTTGTTTTTGGGAAAAACTTAGAAAAGTATTGGTGGGATCTTTCATAGTGTTCCAAGAGGTGCATTACTCTTTGGTAGTGCAGGTTTGGTTCCTTATTTAGCTACTTCAATCACTACGATTTATTTAGCAAGACAAGTTTATAAATCTGAACATGGAACAAGTAAGTACAAAAGAAAAAGAAAAAGAAGACGAAAAAGAAAATCCATCTTTAGAGATTCTTCGAAAAGTTGAATTTCAAAAAAAAACAATGAAAGTGGTATTGATTTAGAAAAATTGATTCTTTTTTTTTGCATTTTGGGGGGTTGGGGATTTAGTGGGAAAGTTTGATTCGGAAACTGCTTTGACTTTGTTGTATCATAATGAAAACCTTCAAGTGGCTTATGGTGCAGTAATCTTATCATTCTTAGGTAAGTTTTTCATGATGAAAATCACTTGAAGCATCTTAACAACAGATCGATTTCTAACTGATATACAAATACGATTTCGAAATAGGTGCGATTCATTGGGGTATAGAATTCGCAGCTGAAGGAACCAAATCCACACCTCAATTAGAACCCAAAGGAGTACCACGTTATTTACTAGGCACCTTACCGGTTTTGTTAGCATGGCCTACATTATTACTGCCAGGTCAATTAGCCTTAGCATCACAATGGGCAGCCTTCACGATAGTTTGGTATACGGATATGATTGCCACAGGTAAAGGTTGGACACCTAAATGGTATTCGACTTATCGATTCGGTTTGACGGCTATCGTAGGTGGTAGTCTGATTATTACTTTAGCTGCTACTAATTATTGGGCTATTGATGATACTGGATATAGTTCTACTAGTCGTAAATTACAAGTGATTAGAGAAAGAGAAAATATTCAGAATGCTAAGGATAGACAAGATGGTGGGACGGGTGGGATTAAGATTGAAGGAAATTTGAATGATCAGAGTCTGGTTGGAAGTGTTAGTGGTGAAGATTCGTTTGTTTTACTTAAAGATTTAAAGAAATCAAATGAATCGAAATCTAAAGATGATTGAAAAGTAGATGACTTTATGATTTCTCTAGTCTTGTTCTCATGGACTACTTCTTCAAACAAAAGTTGATTACTTATCTAAAACTTGTCAAATTGTTATTGTTTTCTTGAATGTGATGCTTCTTACATTTGTACACACCAATCAAAAACGTGTGTATTTGCATATTTTTTTTTCGTAGAAATATTTACACACAGACAGAAACGCACCATGATGGAGGAAAAAGTGAAAGAAAGGAAAGATTGAAAGTAGGTTGCCCTAGATTGCCACCAGGATTTAATAGTATAGATTGAAAAAAGAACATGTACTCATGCTGTCTGCTGTGAAGACAGAAATGGTAGTAAATCAAAGTTTCACCCAAATATAAGCTCATACATAGTACTACACCCAAACCCTACTATGATAGTAGGGTTTGGGTGCATGCTGCTTGTTGCTGATCCGAGCTGATTCAATTCAAAAGTGACCAAATTTCAGCCACTGTTCAAAGAAATTTTTTTGAAAGAAAAGATAGCTGTGTGAGGCTGTGTGCTGTGACACTAAGCCCAGCATTTGCCTTGATTCTCCTGGCCTACCAGTTCAAAAACACTTGTTTGGCCAAACAAACAGGCTTTGAAAAGTCTGTTTGTTTGCCTTACTTGATTCTTATCACACGTATTGCCTGATCCAACACACCTCTAAATTTGTATGTTGGCCCCAGGGGAGCTCAGCAGAATGTATCTGTAACACCTCTTCCTCAGATGATTTGGCAGACTTCACAAGATATCCTTAAATTCTGTGGTGCCAGAACTGCTTACTATAACTTTGTCAATGTTTTGACTAAGCCCATAGTGTGTCAAGCTTTGGTATGGCTGGTGTTGGAACAAACCTCACTCATACCGTTACATGTCCATTTCACATTTATGTTTGACACTTAACAATTGTACTTGTGATGTTTTGTCCATTTTATACTCACGTGATTTAACCTAACATCTAATTGTATTGCTGCTCTTATACCTTCTGATTGCTGTTTCTGAAAGCTTCTCTTTTCTTCTTTAAGCTTTCATTCTTATACAAACTATAAACAAACCTCATCACTTATACATCTTTTCAGCGTTGCTGCAAGATATCATAGACTGAGTTGTTTTGTTTCTGTTTGTCTCTGATCAGGATTCTCTGAATCCTTTAGCTGGCTGTTTTATTTGAAAATGCAGAATTGTAAGAAAGATTTTAAACTGGATACATACACTTAGGGGTATGACCCGGCCCTGGACCCGTCCGGCCGAGTCTGCCCGAGGGGTTTCCAAGTCATCACGGTGCTCGGCCCGGTGCCCTAGCCCTAACTTGAGGATGGAGCCAAAAGGCCCTGTTCCAGGGCCACTCGGGGCCGGGGCCGCCGTAAAATTCACCGCCAAAGAAAGGGTGAAAGGGTTGTTGAGGCATCTTCTACCCCTTGGGCCCTTTGTCGTACCCTCGCACCCTTTCACACCCCCTTGTTATCGATTTTCATCCACCCCAATGTCACGACAAAGCCTTCGTCGTGAGGTCACTGATCCGCAACCAACCACCGATCCACAAACCAACAACATGTCCACCACCTCCAGTACCACTTCTAACTCCATTGCACCATCTGACTCGGTCTCGGCAGTGGCTAGTGCCGTCGAATCCGAACATACTGCCACCAACCGTACCTCTTGGGTGTGGCAGTATTTTGCGACTGTTACGTTCAGGGACGGCACCACCTCGAATGTCTGCCGTGCCAACAAAGGTCGTGTTGACAAGGTTCCAGACTTGGAAGCGCCTGTTGTCGTGTGTCAAGAGCCGATTGCCATCGATAAGACTGGAAGTACGAGATCAATGAGCCGCCACCTCTTGCGTGCTCATGGCATTGCTGCTCCGATTGACACCTCCCAACAAACCCTCACAGCGTTTTCTGCAAATGGAAAAACTAGTAGTGTAAGTCGTTCTGCTATTTTTTCATCTCTTTATTCATCTTTTCTAATATCTTTCTTTTTTTTATTCATCTTTTCTAACATCTTTCTTTTTTTTATTTTCAAGATGGGATCTCTCAATAGGCAAAACCTCACAAATGCAGTCATTCGCCTAATTGTCAATCAAGAACTCCCAGTAGCTCTTGTTGATGCCCCATCCTTCCGCAAACTTTTATCTTGGATCAACCCAGCTGTTGCCCCTATCTTATCGAAACAAACCGCCATCACCAACGGTATCATTTCTCAATTCCGACTTGCTCGTAACCGTCTCACTGCCATCTTTGCTTCGTTGGACTATATCAGCATCACTTGTGATGCTTGGACTTCACCTAGTAGCATACCGATGCTTGGAATTACGGCACACTGGATGACCGACAACTTTTCGATGCAATCGGTGGTTTTAGCTTTGAAGGAAATCAATGGAGCCCATACTGGTAAAAACATGGCGTCTCTCATCAAGCACACATTAGATCAATTCAGTATCACCGAGAAACTTCACTGCATTACTGCTGATAATGCTTCGAACAATCAAACCATGGGTCGAGAACTTCAACTGCTCATACCTCATTTCGATGCCGAGAAGAACCTCCATGGCTGTGTCGCCCATGTTATCAATTTAGTCGCCAAAGCCGGAATCTCGATTTTCGACAGCAAGACTCCTCCTGATCCTCTCAGTGCTTTAGATCCTCAACTACCTCAAGATAATGATATTCCCAATGGTACTAATTCTTTGATTGAACCTACTCCGCATCTCGAAGTCCACTCAATCTTAACTCGAATTCGCGGCTTCCATAAAAAAGTCCGATTGAGCACCCAGCTCAAACAGGCTCTGGACCAGTGCATTGCCACTTCCTCACAGCCTCGAAAGGTCGGACTGATTCATGAGGTTTCAACTCGATGGTCTTCAACTTTTTATTCTCTCGAGAGATTCTTTGAACTCAAGAAGGTCCTTCAGTATTATTGCAATATCAACGATAGTTTAGAACCTTTCACCCTAACCGAAGACGAATGGATCTTGGTTGGCAACTTAGTCAAGTTTCTCCGACCTCTTGCGATCGTGATCAAGGAGATTGAAGCTGAAAAGTATCCCACTTTCTCACTAGCAATGCCTGACTATCAATGGCTCATTGAAAAACTCGAAAAAGTAAGTTTTCTTGCCATATTAACTCGTTGATATTTACACTAGTTCTAACCCATCTTTTTACCAAACATAGGCATGGGCCGCATCTGAGTGTACCAACTTGAAGGCAGCAATTCATCCTATGGTCAAGAAATTAGTCCGATATTCAACATTAGCTTTGAAGAAGCCTGTTTACATATGTTCCCCAATTCTCGACCCTCGCCGAAAGCTCAACACTGTGACTGCTTTTACTTTGGAAGAACTTGGATTCGACAAAGATCAACTCATAGAATACTTTACCGAGCAAGCTCGCAAATTCAAACCCCCTCAAGATCCTGATATTGAAATCGTCGAATCAGACCCTGTGCTCGAAGATGACGATGATAGACCACACCACTTTATCAAATGACGCAAATGTATTCAACTTGAAGACGAAGTGAGGGAGTACCTTCTTGCCCCTCTTGTGGATGAACGTACCGATGTATTAACCTTCTGGAAAACAAATCACACAAACTGGCCAATTCTCTCTCGGATGGCTATGGTCATGCTTGCTATTCCTGCTTCAGGTGGCCCTTCAGAAAGAATTTTTTCAGCTGGAGCAAGGGTGATGTCTGATAAACGATCACAGATGACCAATCAGAACTTTGAAGCTCAGATTTGTCTCAAGTCGTGGGGGATGATTCTTTCCATGTAGTTTGGCTTGTCTTTTTTTTACTCTAAAGTTATTTAATTTGTTTCTCTACACTCGTTAACAGTCTTATACTTGTTTATCATTTCTTTACGCTCTTTTGTTTCCTTTTTACAATGTTTTTTTTTGTTTTTGTATCGGTCTATTTTGCTCAATTAACTTGGTTTGTGCCCTTCAACCCCCTCACAAACAGCTGGCCCGCCCCGGGCCTAAAGGTAGGCCCGACCCAGTGCCTGCCCGTGCCTGCCCGCTAGCTATCTGAGGCACCTCGGGCCGAGGCCGGCTTTGGCCCGGCCCCAGGGCCGGACCCAAAATTGCGTTGCCGGGTCATACCCCTACATACACTCATTTTGTTGTGGTGTTTGCTTCTGTGAGCAGGTTCAGCAGCTGAAGGCTTGAGTTGGATGGTGATTCAGGGTCTGATGTCAAAGACTACTGTATGGAAAATTGACAGACAGTGAAACTGAGAAAATGAGGGTGGGTGGCAGGCTTTAGTGATCATACAGTCTCCAAGTTGCTCCTTGAAAGTGCACTGACATACTTGTTCTCTGCACCTGGCAAGTGCACCACTTTGATGTCTGTGCTTGCTTCAACAATAAGACATGATGTTGAAGAAGTGCGGTTGAACCAGGGGTACATATGGGGCTATGTGATTGAAAAAGGTCACAGACATTCATGGGGTCTGTTACAATGAAGACCCTCTTGGGCTGTTTTTAAGTGCCATAGAAGCAGCATGACAAACCACTAGTAACCCCATGCAGTAGATTTATTGGGCTGGGTGTGGAATCTCCATGTGGTCCCCATGCCTGAGGTTTGGGAGGCAAAACCCTATCCCTGTTGCAAAAGCATCTGTCAAAATCAAAAAATCTGCTGCTGACAAGGCCCAAATAGAAGCATCTATGAAAAACTGACCATCAAACGGTCCAAGGCAGTCCACTAGCCATGATTGTAGGCTGTCTTGCACCTCCTTATTCACATGTATCAGTGCAGACCATGATGATTTGTTTATCAAGTTTTCCCAGGCTGCTTCTAGCAAGAACCTGCCATAGGGACATTCAGTACCCACAATGCCTAGCCTAACATTCTCTGGCATACTCTACTTAGCCCATGAGCTGGTGTGGAAGCAAATTTTTACAGGTTTTTGACCAATGACGCCTCACTGCCAACATCTTGGACAGATCTTGTCCAAAAGAAATTGATCCAAGGTATTTTTTGGCCCAAAAGAATACCC